CTGATGATGGTGGAAAACACCGAAACGTATTTTAATTGATAAATAGACAATAAATGACTGAAGCCCAGGAATTGATTTTGATTTGGAATTGAAACTAAAAAAAAGCCGTCTTTTTGTCCAGCGGAGAAACTTTCAGCAATTTCGCATTGTTTCAATGGCACTATTTTTTGCAACAACACGCACTAACCGAAAAAGAAATGCACTAATTAACGCTTCAAACAACAAATCGCTCTAAGCAGTCAGAATTTAGCCAAGTACCAAAGTTAGCGCAAATTTTGTTGAGCAGTTTAGTTGAAAACCGGCTCTGGACATCCGATCTGTCGCTTACATTCTTTAGGCAAAAAAAACCGAATCTTTCGCATTTAACCCAAAGCAAATTCTGGAAGATCGCGCTTTAAAATTCCATCACTCACTTTTGTCAGTTCTAAGATTTATTACACATCTGAAATGAGGTTGCTGATGCGCTATCCACCATATGGACGGTTTTGAGCGAATTATTGTCGCTCGCTTCTATTTTCAACGATCTACTTGAAACACCCAGACAACAAGTTTAGCGCGGTGTCAAATTGAAAATATCACATTTTTGCTGCATTCTACAGCCTAATTAGCTCCAGGCGATTAGTCATGGACTTTGAATGAATTTATTGCAGTTGGCAGCTACAGATCGTAACTGTCCCAGCTTGTGTGGCGAATACACAATGTCTTTTAAAACGCAACAAAAGCTTCAAGGGTTTTAGTGTCGGGCTGATGGCTGGCTTTTTACGGTCATCTTTCGCTGCATTTCTCTGAGAGAAAAATAAAATATTTAAGAATCCCCTATAACCAGATTACCACCTACCTACAAGCAGTAATGAGCACCAAACAACCCATAAAGCCCGAAGTTTTATTCGGGGATATGTGAACTATTGAGACACTGTGTAGCTTTAGAAGTTGAGTTTTTTCCTTCGCTTCTTTCTCATTGAAGCTGCCCGAATAATTGCATTTGCAAGTTGCGGCATAAACCAGAGTTTTAGCGAAAATACGCGGCATAAGTAGACAACATAAAATAAATCATGCAGATGTATTAACAATAAAGTGGCGCATGATTTATTTTACGTTTACTTTGTGCATTTAATGGCACCTCTCCCTTAAGAACCGTTTTATCTTTCATAATTTAAATGGAATATTGTACAGTAAAACCCATCGGATGGGAGCCATTCGAAAGTTTCGTGAATAGATGGCGATTTCGTTATTGGCCATAAAAGCTGCTGGGGAAAAATTAGCCAAGTGGGCGAATGGCTTGATCTAACATACCTTCTTATACGCCCGTCCCATAAAATATGAGACTTTACGGTACCCGTTTGGACCGAATGCAATAAATTCGGACAATTCTAATCTGAATCCCATTTATGACCAATCGATCCTTGATAAAATCATTATTGACCGAAGCTCTTCGGCCAGGCTTTCGCGATTCCATCTTCAAGCAAACAGACAGGCGGGCATCGTAAAAGTTACGGTTGCTTTTTAAATCCTTTACTAATAAAATCACTGTTGTTAGCAGGGTTTTCTAAAATACGAGATAAAAGTCCCGCTTGAAACCAAGTTGAACAAAAACCAGGTTTTGTAATGAACTTCTCAGAGTAAATTCGATAGAATCAACTTTCGCAATTAGCGTACGGCTTGAAACGTCTTAAACGCACAAAGTTTGCAAAGTAAAGTCGAAACCAAATTGCAAAATGGACGGAGAAGCAAAATGTGCGCAACATTTAATTTAAATCAACATCAGTTAATCAGATTTTCCGTATTTTCACTGTTTCTGACCTTTTTGCGATACCCTTTGACTAACTCTTCAAGCCATTGACGCCAACTATCGAGCGAGAAATGTGTTATTTTCCCAAAAAAAAAACAAACAAAACTTTGATTAATCTCAGTGAAAGTGCGATTGTGCAGTGATTAGCGGCCAGTTTGATTAACTTTCATTGTAATATTCACAGCGATAGCGAATGTAACAGAGATTATAGAGGTTATGTGTTAGATCCTGCATAATTTTCGTTGGGGGCCAAGTTGAAGGTCCTGCATATGGAATGGCGTCAGCTAGAAAATAGTTTTGGCAACACTCGAGCTTTCAACTCATTTTTTAAACCCGAATTATGACGCTGGAGATAAATTGAACGGCGTGAACAACCAAAATTACGCGGTTCGTTTACTTGTTGAAAATTACTAAATCAATCCGGATTGAAAAGAATCTGGGGCCTTGCGAAGAGAAGCCAATGGACGCAAGTGAAGCTGCTCACCAACTGCTCATTTTATGAAGGAATTATCGCAATTTTGCTCCCAAACTTGGCTTGAAACTGAGCAGATGCATCAAAATTCACTTCCATGCCTCGATAAATTATCGAAACGTCCTCGAACTTGGCAATCAATCGAAAACACGTGTTTGATTCATTACTTTGTGACCCGATAGACCAACACTTTCCGAGTTCATTTGGAACAATTTCCAATCAGATAATAATTTAATTAGTTCCTAAATCGTGTGAGACGATAATTGTTACACGTGGGGTAACGATAATTGCTCAATATCATCACTCCATTCATAATTCGTTCACATCGAAAATGTTGTGCTTATTTCGCTTCAATAACCCGATCCTGATCAACGTGGAAGCAACAAAAGATTTTTTTCCAGAATTAAAAAGATTCCTGAAGATGCCGAAATGAATATGAGGCAAATTCCGTTGTTAATCAAAGTCCACCATGGACACAAATAAAAAAGCAGCATGCGCAATTTTTTTGAAAATCAGGTCAACATCAGAAAGTTCCATGCTTTGTTCAATTATTATGGATTTTCACCAAAATTAATTACCCGTTTTATAGACTGAAATGCGTTCGAGAATTCTTCCATCGTTTTTGATTTAACGATATAATTTTTTTCTGAAACCACTTTTTAGAATGTTTGCATAAACCTTTTCATCGACGGCCGTGAACAAAACCCTGCAGAGCAGCTTTCGATCTGGCAAGTATTTCATGCAAAATAAAATTTGTTGCTAGAAAACTTAGTTTGCGTGATAAAATTACAGTGTGAAAATCCGAGCTTCTTCCAGTTACCAACTGAACCGAATAAAATTTCCCGTTTTCCTTCTCAATTCAACCACAATTATCCAAACTAGAGCCTGTTTTCACACAATTTGGAGCAGAATAGTGTACCTCAAAAATAAAAATATCACTTTTGACGATTTTTTTTCTCCTTTGGAAATGACACCTTCCCATGTTTAAAAGGATCCGAAGTCGTTCTCAAAAAATTAAGCCTCTCAGCCGATAAGTTGAATCTCAGTTGAACAATAAACTCAATAAATCCCGACCTTTTTCAGTTTAGTCTTGCTCTTAGCGTGGGCAAAAGGCATGAATTGTCCTCAAAATAAATTCAACAAACAAACAACAAATTTGTGGAATAGTCCTATCCAAAAATAGTCGCAGATGGGACAGGCAATGTTAAAATATTAGTCCGAAGTGATTGTTCAATTACTCAAATACCGCAACAATTTCCTGGACCGTTGCCTATACTAATCAGTTGAGTGATGAGCATTTTCAACTTCCAATATAGAAATGTATTAATAGTGTCCAACTGAAATACACTTACGCGCATAAATTGTCTGAGGTTGTGACTTTTATTTCGCCTAGGCAAAGTGACGGTTTTACGGTCATTTTGCCACTCGCAACTTATCCGGTTGATTGGTCGTTAACATTTCAATTGGGCACGACTTCAACCGAAAAAACTCCTCATTCTCTACTCTAATACTTACCATTAGAGCCAGGCAACAATTTTCTCTCTTCTATAACAAATTTCAAAAGCTTTTATGGATTGAAAGGCAAATCAGCTAAACTAATTGAAAATCATCTGTCCATTTTGGATTATTTTGCAAAAATACTTGAACGGCACAATGGCTAATACTTAATAATACTAATTATCTACTTTAAATGGCAAATTGAATGATTGATCACTTTATAGCAAAACATTGCATTTTAACTGGAGATTTACTGACTTAAAGGCTGCTGACTCGGTGAAGGAGCTGATTCTTCTATCCTGTGTGGTTTTCGTATCTGTATTAGTAAAACAAAACATTGCGGATTAATCGATCAAAACGAAATCGATCAAAACGAAATCGATTGATTCAACTAACAGCTAAAAGTGAATCTAAAGGAAAAACCATTAAGTTCAGACGTTTGGTTTTGTGTGGTACTTACGGCTTGAGGGACGAAGTTTCACGCCATCATACATGTTGAGGTTGTGTGTTCTCGAATACTCGTTTACCACCTGTTTTCCTGTTGAAATAAAAAGAAACACGCATGTTTTACCAACATTTATTCAACAAATGGAGTTTTGCAGCGTTTTCAGCGAATCTCCTCCTAACGTTTCGCAAGTAGGAGGGTCTGACATCTTCAAAAATGGCTTGCTCGGGGTGCGATTTCAACAGCTTTGCAGCTCCTTTTCAAGCACCTTTGAAGATGGGCATCACTCGTGCTCGCGAAACGTCAGGAAGAAACCATTTTGATAAAACTGCTCAAACTAGGCAATTTCAAAAATTTCTTATTATTTGCACAACTTGCCTTCGTCTATCCGTCGCGATGCTTCATCAAGATCGGCTCTGGCGTCTTTAAGAATGGCGTACATGAGAGGCATCATTTCGTACGGATAATGGAATTTTTCTAGAAGTTTGTGGCAGTCCTCCAAAAGATCCATACTTCGATCCACTGAAAAACCAGGTAAAAACAATTTAAAACTATTTTTTTAACACCCCCTAATTGGCGATTAAACCGTAAAACACTCATATTACCAGACCGCTGGAATTGCCAACAAATAAACGGTAAGCCGAAAATAACAATGTTCCAGTGGAAACGGAAAGCCCAGGGATTTTTACTCTTGGAGAATGTACATTTCAGCAATGAACAGAGCCAATAGTAAAAGCGCGGCGATATTAAGCTCCACCTTTACGGCATTCTAAATTTTCATTGGTCATAGATGCCGTTATAACGCACATGTCGGATGATCGTTTCTTACATAATAACCCCGCTATCCAGCAATAAATGCGGAAAATGCCACAGAATATGCGATTTTATGGACGTTGGTTAATCCCTTATGGGATTTAATGGAGGGAACGTTACATTGATAACAATGTTTGTAGGCACAAGGCGGAAATAACGCATTCAATGCCCTAAATGTTTGCATTTTTCCATTATTGATTGAATCATCTTGAAAAAGTCTATACTTGTACTTGTGTTTGAAGCATTTTTTGAGCCACTGATCAATCAATCGATCGATTTCTTTGGCGATTTTTTTATGGGTTATTGTACGGTCTTCCGCGTTGGAAAATTGGCTCAAACCCACAACACCGTAAGGTAGTTTAATGGTGCTTTCTCTCATTTTGAAAAAAATTTAAACCACACTTTCGTTGCTGATTATAAAGGTTTGCCAAATATGTACAACGCTTAATATTGGGCTGGTTGCATCCATAAACGTGCTTTCTTCCAGAAGTAAGCAAATGCAAGAAATTCTATGTTTAAGTTGGTTGATTTACGAATACCGAGAAAGTGTTAAGTGTTAACTGGTTTTATTTTCCTTTAATTAATTATTTTCAACTTTCTTTCAATTTTGAATTTTCTTTGCTTCCTACGTCAAATATCTAGGTCTCTTTCTAACGCTTTTTTCGTGAGTCACCGTTTATTCGGTATCTTGAACAAGTGTTGATCAGGTTTTGTGTGTGTCTTTGGCCAATTTGGGTCTAATTAAAGGTATTAGTTGTATTGTTAACGCGAAAATCGCCCAAAAAAATGCAAAACCTTCACCAATTCATAAATGGAAATTTTTCAAACTGAAACTGATTTTCCCATTCCGGAACGTGGCTTGCATCGGCTATCTCTCTCGCACCCGTGGAAGCCAGCGACATGCCCGAACGCCCGTGTGTTGCCACGTTCCAACTTGATACCTTCGCCGCTTAAAATTTTGAAACAATTTTCATTTTTTCACTTTTTAAATTACATTGAATAAAATTAGAGAAAAATCAAAAGTCAATTACAGTCAACTTTATTCGCTTTTCCAATGAAAATCCCGTTAAATCTATGGAGGAATTAACAACTTTTCGGGACAATAGTTAATTTTTGCTAACGAAACGTGAACTTGAAACTTTTGGGTGGTTGTTTTCTGTAGAGTGGATATTTGGGGTTTTTTCATAAACAAACTGATAAATCCATAAGAAACTAAACAATTTACGTAAAAAAAGACGCACAAGACCCTGCTTTTCAATCAGCTAGGTACTCAGCTAAAAGCTGGATAATTGTTAATTTACATGGAACCGCTCAGAAAGCTTCTCGTAATAGACAACTGACAGAGCTTCAGTTAACTTTATCACACTGATCTGCTGTCTTGCTAAATCATGCATGATTGAGCAAGCAAAACAGAGCAAATAATTTCCATTTGTATACAAGTCGAAATCTTGCCAAGATACGTGCCCAGATAAAAGGGCCATCTGAAAAAGCTTGTTGGAAACTATACAGTCATTTCAAACGTAAACTAAGCCGAATTGCTTGTATAGTGCCGAGCACGTTTTAATGAGACACTTTCTTAGGGCGATAAAATCCAGAAACTTCTTTGCCCGGATCCCATTAAACTCATGTCGATTGCAAGCCGAAACGGAACTTTTTGGCCCCGAATGACGAATTTAGTTTAGCATTCGGCATTGACTATTCAACGATTTTAACTGCACGTGGATAAGTTATGACCATTAATGTTTTCTATGCACGCGTGTTAAAATATGAACACTCATTTAACCGGCTTTTGTCTTAGCAATTCATTGCTTTCAAACAACTCGGCAAATATTTAGCGCTGTTTGGATTGCCGATGGCATTAAACCCAATAAATCGACATTAAACATAACGGCAAATTGAATATCTTAAATGCGATCATTCTATATCTTAAACATGCGCCAACGCGGGCCATTTAAATAAATTTACATATTTTATCGAAGAATTGCTCCAAGGGAGCGCTGTTGTTTTCATTGGCGTTTTTTTATGGCAGCTTAACAAGGGACTAAAAAACCACCCTGAAGTTTCGGGATTAACCCCCATGTGTAAAAATGGCATCGATTTAACCTACAAGCCGAACAAGGGTGCAATTTGGAGTTAAGCGACATTTAGCCCGATTCCTGCAGGATAAGGAGGGCAATATAACTTCCCTACCGCCAATATAACTACTGTATCCTTTTCAGGCGAGACAACTTTTACTGCCCCATTCCGCTCAGTTATTTTGGGAGTTGGACGATCCGAGAAATAGCTTCTGGATTTTTTATTGCATTTATTGGAGCCGATTCCTGAAAAACCATAAGTTAAGCTAATTTTCATTGTATAACAACTGAGAAGACATTGTGTGATGAACAATTGACACCAACTAATGCTCTAAGCAAACCATATATAAATTTGCGTAAATCCTGATTAGTTGTGCTATTATGCGGCAATAAATTGCGTAATGAATAATCCGTCTTTAACGCTTAGAACAATTGTCAACAGTAAGCCAACGAACCTATTACATTTTAAAGGAAACTTATCTCCAGAATAAAAGGCTCAAAATCACTGAACTAACATGACTTCACGATTCCCATTGTAAACAGATCACACTGAATTTGCCTCTTAATATGTACATTAAAAATGAAGCAGATAAATTGATAGAATCAACGAACTAAGAATCAGTGCTTTTCGAGTTTTTAGGCAGTTTTTAAACAACTGAATGTCTGTTTCGCCAACTGCTTTCTGAGTATCAGCCAAAACCAGAGATCGGTTTTGAAAAAATTAACAATTTATGCACTTTTGCATTTCCTGAAATAATTACAAATTTTCGAAAAACGATGTTTTGTATGAAAGAAGACGCACTTCAATTCTCTATTCATCAGTAACAACTGAATGTCTATTACTCTAACGGTTTTCTGAGAATGAGCCCAAAACTAAGCGCGGTTTTGAAACAAACCACTATTTTTGCACTCTCCTATTTCATGAGATAATAATCAATTTCTGCAAAACGATTTTATATGAAGACTCGCTTCTATGCTTTATTCAGTAACAACAAAAAAAAACGAAAACCAGCCAGACACTTTTAATAACACCGTCGCCCGAAGCGAAGACAATTCTGCAGACGCTGAAGAAGCGATGAGTGAAAACGTCCGGGCCAAATCTCTCTCGACTACGGCCTGAAAACTCGAATATCGCCCAGACAGCCACAAAAATGTTGAAAATTTCATAGATCGATTTTTCAGAAATAAAACTGATTGTCCCATTCCAGAACGTGGCTTGCATCGGTTATCCCACTCGCACACATGGAAGCCTAGCGACATGCACGATCGACTAGACGTTGCTGCGTTCCAACTTGATACCTTCACACCTTAAAATATCTGTTTGAAGCCAAGAGAAAATTTGAAAAAAATTGTTAAGCTCTACGCAAACCGACTAGCAGTGTCAACTAAATCCTGATTACTTGCACTATTATGCGATAATGGATTGCATAACGAATAATTCCACACCAACGCTTGGTGCAATTGCCAACAGTAAAACAATTACATTTTGAGAGAAACTTATGTGATAAATCCCTGGTTTGAGTCAAAATTCATAAACACACAATTCTCGTTGTAAACAGATGAAACTCCGTACGTATTTTACTCCTTCCAGCTGGTTGAGCAATGAAGGGAAAAAGGCATAAAACCACTTGTCTTCATGAATATTTCCTGCATTATCCACGCACGTTTGATTTTATTAAATCTTCAACATTCAGACGAATATAAAGCGCTGAAATGGGCTTTTATGGCCAAAGCTGTTCACCCAAATGAAGTTCTATTAAATCAAATATATTTACCCAGATTGAGTTGCATCCGGGAAGTCGCCTGTGTAATGTAACCAAAATCTGAATAGAAGAAATAGAGCAATTAAAAGATGAATTTGGAGAATTAAGTATGGGAAAACGTTTCAAATCAGCCTTGAGTGAAAAAAGTGCAATATTTGGGGTTTAGTGAGTGCTCAAGCAAACGCGCGTTGGCAGTGGCTATTAATACAATAAATACTAAGATTCGGAGGTGTCACCATGAAACCAGCTGCAGCTGCAAGATTTGCTTAGAAAAATTGCACATTATGGCAATTTTCAATTAGCTCTAATTTAGCCCAGACCAATTAGATTAATCGTTTGAACCCATTAACTGCTGAAATGCGATTAGTTTCAATGCCACTGGATATTTGTTTACAGTCAAACGTGTGAATGTCTCTTCGGACCATAAATAAAATTAAATTGTTTATTTATCAGCGACTAAGCAGTCTCAACTTTAGCTTCTTAATGTCCGATAACCGAATGGCAATAGGTCGTTTGGCCAATAAATAATTGCAATGCGCTGATTTTGTAATGAGTGATAAATGACTTATTCAATAATCTTATCTAAACAGCTTCGACTGTGTGGCATGTTATGAATGGGAACAAAATCCTGTTAAGTTGCAACTTTGCCCACATTTTAATGAGGCAAGGATATCGGTAATGTAGATGGTTGAATGTTTGAATGCGATAACCATGGGCATTATTTTTGCAATGTTTCTGGCTTGAGATATTCGTTGATCTAGAGGCCAAATTGTTGGCTTTCCATTTATCAAATTCTGCGGACGCACTTAAATCTCTCGTCCATCAAGCCGGATTCTGCAAGAAAAACGTTTGTGCATGCCAAATTCCTTAACATTCGAACGGAAATCCTTTCCTATTTTCCCGATTGGGGGATTCCTTTATCGACTGACTGATCCTGCCAAACAGCAGGAAACTTGACAATGTCCCCGTTGGACATTCCGAAAGGAGTTTTAAAATTTCCAGAAAGTTAACTGGGCTGAGGATTTCCTCGAGTGTTCAGCTGTTTAATTAATAATTCACAAACCAGACTCTTTGCAATTCCAAGCTGAACTTCACCGAAATTATTGCCGATCGCCTTTTAAATTCACTTCCTGATTGATTCGCTTTAACGTCGAAATAGCCAAAACTCATTGTGTATATTGCCTTATTTCTGCGTTGAAGCCAATGAACATCGTTCAGTTTTGTGGAAGAGGGTTTGGTCAAGAATTATTTGAAAACGGAAAAGATGATTAGAGAATTGCTACTCAACACTGTAAAGAGAGAGGATGGAAGCGTTAGATTGACGATTGACTGTCGCTTACAGGATTCGCATCAAGACGAACATGTATGGATCAGTTCTTCGGTTGACTCATTCATCAGATTTCGGGTTATTTTCAGCAATTTAATTGTTTTAACCGACCACAATCCAAGGTTGGGACCAGTAAACTTATCACAACGCGAATGTTCTTCATGTATAGATGTTTAAACTGGAAAAAGTTAGTTTGGAAGCATGAAAGAGGATGAGATAGTAAAAAACAGCAGAAATCATCAAAAATTTTTGGCCATTTTGAGTCGTTTTTGGGCGGTCACGACTTTCAACCGACGATATCTCCCTAATAAGGACGCAAAAACCTTATATATGCAACCTGGGACGCTTCTTACATCGGAAACAATCCAGTGAGCACAAAAAACACGAATGTAAAATTTTGATTTTTGACCCAAATTTT